ATGCAGAATACACGATACCCATATAACGCCATGGCCATGCAATAAATCAGACTGGTGATGAAAAGCAAGATCGCCAGTCGCCCTAAGAAAGGTCCATGGGTTCGGCGGTGTTGCTAATGGTACCGATTGATGCACGCTGGTCCTTGATTGCCGGAGGAGCAGCCTGCGAGAAATGATTTTGGGGAGGCGGAGCAGCAACGTTAATGCCGGTGTTGACATTGTCGTTACGAACTTGAGGAGGCGCGACATACCCCATGTGAGGCTGGGCGTAGATCGGAGGCGTCGCAGGACCGGAGGAGTTGCGCGGCGGCTTCCGGCCACCAATGCGCTGGGCTCGAGGAGCCGGAAAGCAAGCGTTCTTAACACGAGTCTGAAACTCTTGAGCGAAATTGTCATATGGCTTCTTGTCCTCTGACGTCTTCCAGCCCATCTTGTTCTTCATACACTCGGCCTTGCGGTGGCTAATCGTTGAGCCTTCAATACGGATACCATTGGCCTCAAAGCGACGACAACAGTCAGATCGCGAGAGAATGAGTAACACAACAAGAAGGCTTACGTTGTCGTTATCGAGGAGATGGGGACAAAAGTCGCAGACGTTGCAGGCAAAGCGGCGCATGTCTTCGAGTTCCTTGGTATCGGTGCAGTTGACGAAGCGTTCGGCCATGGAGAACGGGCGCACCATGTCCCTACATATATGATTCTGGAGGACATTGGCGACCGAGGAGACGGATACTGGGTAAATACTCGAACGGTCGATCTTGCTTGTAGCAGATGACGAGACCGTGCCAGCGATGTAGACAATCTCAATATCATCAAATGGGCCACGATCAAGCTTAATGTCTTGGAGAGACTTCCCTTCCTTCTGGGCCTCCTTGTAGGTCTCGGCATTCTTGATGCCAGCCTCACGTGCCGCTTTGACCGCCTCCCGGGGTGTAGTAAAGCCGTACTGCTTGGCAAGGGCTACGGAGTCTTCGTGCATCTCAAACTTCGACAGCTTACGCTCAACATCAGGGGCGCGGATCCAATCCTCAGACCAAGGTTCTTCAGCAAGAACCTTATAGAAGACCTTGGTAAGTGCGCGAAGCTTGATCTCAAGATCGGTCATCATCCGCCGACCAAAGTAAAGCTCATCGGTTTCGAAGAAGGCATTCTCAATGAAAGCCTTTCGATCCTTTTGGGTCAGTTGGCCCCGCGAGGGGTCATTCTTCCATTCCTGGATTATGTGCATAAACTTGGCGTGAAAGATGTCATCAAAGTGTTTTGATGCGGGTATAGCTGTCGCTACATGTTATATTAGCTTCTGATCAGAACTACAGCATGTTGTATTCACGTACACGTGGGTGTGTGGGGTTGTTGTGGTGAAGATGGTAAGGTAGTAGCGGTCTGAAGGACAGGGGCAGGCGACATAATGATTCAAGCGCGGTATATGACCTGATGTACCGAAAAAGGTAACTTGAACACTTGCAGGTCAGTATAGACAATCCAAAGCAGTCAGATCTCGATGGAATCAGATGGTGTTGGAGGGTGAGGTTCGCAGTTGGGTCAAGTGTTGCGGGGTGGCTGGGTTGTCGGAGCGTGAGGTTGTAGGCAAAAACATTCACGCTCGCGTAAACTTAGCGCTTGTCTTGGCGGGAGCATTGGAGCAGCACGTGACTGCATGACTAGCCAGCATGTGGCCCCAACAACCTCGGGTGAACGTCATAGCTTAGCGCTGTTAATCGCAACGATAATTCTGGCCATCCGCCGGACACCTCAATTGTTCAGCTTACGGTCCATCGACAACAACTGTTATAATGCCTTACATGTTCTTACACGCACCCGACTGAGTCTCGCCGGAGTGAGCCCGGGTTCGTGTAAGCTACATATCCCTTCGTGTCGCTTTCTTACAGCAGAATCCTCGACTTATTCACGTTCCATCTGTCTTCCTCGACCAACGTTCTACGTGTTTCACAAACAGCGAATGATGCAGATAAACTGGTATCAAAGGAAGCAGGTCTGGTCACAATCCGTGAATTGTTCCTGTTGACTAGACTCCTGTATCCTTTTGGGAGCAATGTGGATAGTCTCTATAGACTGTGCCGCCTCCAAAATGATTCACACCCTGCCGATAAGTTGGTGGAACAAGTATTTGGCCAGACCACGACGTTTTTCACGTCCCGGATGACATCCATAGTATGCGCGAAACCCTGAAAGGAACCAGGAGCTTGAGATGCATGAGGTGTGTGGTGTTTTACGACCATCAATCCTGCAATATGGACTAGAAAAGTACATTTGGGAAGATCATGGTGTCTGTCTTATGCTGAGGATTAAGAGCATGTAATGAGGCTATGTTATAAGCAGAGATGTTGTGGATGGCCAGCCTAATGAGGCCTTTCACGGTGAAGGACACTTTTGGAACACATGATATAAGCGGACTAGAGCCGAACATCTCCTCTGTGCGAGAGGACTTTTTCGCGACCTGACTTCCTTTCACTCTTCATCTGGAACTCAATCGCTAGATTGATCCGCTATGGCACGACTTATCCCTCGAGCCAGCACTAGCCGTACCCGAATTGCGAAAGCATGCCGCATTCTCGCACTGCCTGCCGAGCTCCGCCTGCCCATCTACAGCTACTTGGTCCCTGAGGGCTTCCTCCCGAACGCGCACCATAGGACGTACATTGGGCTCTTGCTCTCCTGCTCCCAGATTTACCACGAGATGGCGACAGAATCCATCCGCCTCGCGCCTCTCATTCTGCACGAGATACAAGACACTGCCTACGCAGCGCCAATGAAGCTGCAGCCGCTTCGTCCAATTAACTTTGCCTCATCGATGCACATCACGGTCGGCATACCACGCTGGGCAATGAGCAACAGACCCATTTTGAGCGGGATAGTAGTCGCTATAATTTCATTACTGGAACTTCATCTAGCCAGTCTTACCATTGGAATCGAGGAGCATGAGAGTGAGTATGATGTCTGGCAGATGTTTAACATCGGGTTTCCACTTCTAATGCAGTATTTTATGCACGGTGTGGAGGCAAGAGGGGCCAGCAAATGCGTGCAATATTAGGAGGATTGTATTCTGTCTAAAGAGACTCCACGATGAAGATCACTCTGTTGCAGGTGGCCAATTCCGCCGGCTCGTATATCCATTCGGCATAGAGAGTATGCGCCAACGCGGTACTACTACGAGCCTACGATCGTGCCCAACGACCGAAGTGCTTGCGTTACTGGAGGAGGGGTGGGAGGCTAGGTGGATAGATGAGATGGGTATAAAGAGGCGTTGCTCCAGAAGAAAGCCAGGTCTATTTGTCTGGAAGAAGTTGGGGGAGAAGCCGGTAGAGAAGTCGGTAGAGAAGCCGCCAGGCAGGGTGAAGAAAGCGCTGGAGTGGCTGTTCAAGCGGTCGTAATTGACACATATGCAGCGAGCGCTCAAACTCTCCAAAGGACTCAAGGCTATTGCAGGTGGCTCATGGAACGTTCATAAGCACTGAATGATTTGAACTTTCCTCACGATGCTACATATGTCCACACCAACCTTGAAAACTACGTCAGTGCAACAGGGATATCCCTTTGACGCCTCTTAGTTGCAGCACGTAGTTACACATTTCAATGTAGTCCTTCCATCGACACTAAACTTCATGACCATCATATCATGCGCACAATCTCAGTATAGGGACCCTTAACAGGATGTGTTCGAAAGTTCCGGATGTAACACGCCACTACCCGACGGCTACCACAATGAATATCCACAAACAGAATGAACATGCGTTTGCACGACCCACTTCCAGCTCTTTCCTTACCCGGTCAATCAAATCCCCATTGCGTATTGAAAAGTATACAAGACCTACTGTTCGTCGGCTCTCCATGATCCAGACTTGCTCAACCCAAGCACTACTGTTGACAAAATAGACCCACACGATGACCTTGTCTGGCCCAGAAACAGCCGGCATAATCATAGTAATCATCGTCATTCTAATTCTTTGCTTGGGAGCCTTCTACTCTACCAAGCATGTCCGCCAGCAGAACACACTTCCGGATGCAACGGATCCACCTTTACCCACAGGCTCAGGCCGTCCATCACTCTCCTCTTTACTGCGACTCAAGGGTACCAACAAGCGCACTGAAATATCAGACCCAGAGCATCATATACGTTATCCAAGCCTAGAACATGGACCTGGCCCAACTCTCACCACATTGGCTGTTCCCGAAACACCGGCGATCGGTACCATCAGAGCAGTGACAGCTACACCTACGGCGTCTCCATCGAGTACCAGAGTGGAGCCGGCTGACAGTGTGGCATCAAATGACCGGAGTAGTTTACATCAAGCGGTGTTGGACGTGGGTACAGAAGACGACCAACAGAATGGCGATGCGTCGAAGAAACCTGATGATGTTGCATCAACAGCCAAGGAGTTGAAGCATAGCCTCGTGAGCAAGGCATACACTGGAGCTTGGCCTTTGCGCGATGTCCATGGTGCCTCTGAGAGGCGATGAGTGGAGGAAATCTACAGTGCTGATCTTTCTCGGCAAAGATCAAATTTGTAGAAGTAGCGTATTACAGAGAAGTGAATGCATGGTGTGGAAGAGTGAATACATGAACTTGTTTCCACTGAATTGAGAGCTGGTGAGCTCACGACACATACACGTATCGCCTGATGCCATTCCATCTTTCTTGTCTTTACACCGCAGTGCATGATGAGAAGAGAGCCCACTTACCTGCCTTGTATCTACATTCGTTCTTGGTCGACATCACTCCAACATCACATCACGCATAGGGCATGCATGGGGGAAATGGCAATCAAGCATTGTCTTCATGTCTTGCGACAGTCAGACTCAGCGACACCTAGTGGGGGAAGAACCTTTTGTTTCATTGACTCCTGATCATCATGCCGCCGTATATAGCCGTAAAACCATGCCATAGTCGTGGCAGAAACCCTTTCCCAGACACCATATTTTCAGTAAGCCGAGAAAGGAGGAAGAAGGGAGACCGGCGGGTCGCGCTTGCGCATTCGTATCTACGAGCGGGCGGGGCGGTCGTTGAAGCGGCGGGGACCGCGCTCGACAACTTGTTGTTGGGAAACGGCAATAACGTTGGTGGGGATGCTGTCGAACTATGGAGAGCGTTAGTAAACAGCATAATGCAGTGTGGGTAAAGAAGTAACGTACGCCCATGGACTTGAGGAGGTCCTTGGTCTCCTGGTCGACGTCGAGCGAGCCGGACTCGCTGTTCTGGGTGAAGTCGAGAGCGGAGATCTCGGGGACGTACTGGTCCTTTCGCTCACGCTCCTCTTCTTGGAGCTTGAAGGAAATACCACGAACGGGACCGCGCTGGATACGCTTCATCCTGTAAGTTGTTAGTCCGATGCCAGTACAAAAGAGCGAATTGCTCATGGGGTCCCAGCTCTGGCGAGTAGGTGGCTTCCTGTTCAAGTGCTAGGTCTGCGCAAAGCCAATACTCGGCGCAAACCACCGCATCTCTTCTAGGTTCTGCCCCTCACTGCCATTGCCTCAAACCCGTTGCAAAGACGTACAAGTGAGTGGTGTATCCGGCAATCTTGTTTCGGAGCCTCTTGGAGGCAATGATGGCGATCTCATCACAGATCCTCTTGTTGGTCTCGAAGTCCAGCGACAACTTGGGGTAGTAACGCTCAATGATGACCTTGGCGGACTTCTTGACGGTCTTAGTTCGGACGCGACCCATTTTGGCGACTTGTTGTGTGAGCTGGGAGAAGAGGTTGTCGTGGGAAGGGGCGGTGGCTGTCGGGTTAGTTGGATTGTCGCTGAAGAGTAGAAATGCCGGTAGGACGGCTTGATAATTCGCGTAATGTGTGTGGTGGTCCATGCGCAACGCTAGTCACAGACGGCTTAGCGCCAACGTGGGACTTGGACATTTGACGTTCACGAACACCATCTTGCAGTTTCTGGCATATAGGAAGAATTTGTATCATATATGTAGTATTGATATCTCACGCTCGCTAATTGTTGCTGGTGGAAAGAAAGAACGCTCAAAGAAAGTGCATCACAGATGCTCGCTAGCAAAGCTTCGCCAGGCTCCTCGCAAACCAATTCGTACTGAAACTCCAAACACCGTAGCTGTGCCAATGCCAATTTGAGGTGACAGATCCTGATCACATCCATCTGATCGTCGCTAGTGACCGCCTTCCGCACCGCCCTCTGAACCGCCTTCAGCGGCGCCACCGTGGTGCGCAGGGTTGGGGAAGTAGAACGCGCAGATTGCGATGATAATGTACGTCATCACGCAAAGCATACCCTCAAGGTAGTTGGAACTCCTATCACGCAGGAAAGAGCCCACCGCCAAAACGGCAAGAATCAAAGCGACCGCGTCGAAGATGGCGAAGTTGTAGTCCATGCCGACACCGATACCCCAGCCAACCAGTACTACGAGCGGTGCGTTGAACAAGGCAGTCTGGATAGACGCACCCAGAACATGAGCGAGAGCCATGTTGATCTGGTTGTCGTAGGCTTCGTCGATAGCGAGCAGATGTTCGGCGATCTTCTCAACAAGTGGAATCAGAATAAGACCGACAAAGGCGTCACTGACACCCCGCTCCTCTACAATGTATGGGATCTCAAGGACGAGGGAAATGGCGACAAGCGCTACGCAAGTCAGGGAGACGAGAAGGGCGACGATGACTTCGGTCATGGTAAGCTTGGGCTTCGCCAACTCCTCGTGGCGGTCCTTGTCCTTGTGATCGTCCGCCTCGTAGATTTCGTGGAGCAGACCATCGTGCGATACGGTTTGGAAGTACACGTAGATCAAGTAGCCTATGATTGATATGATGGCTACGCCACGGGAAATCAAACGAGTGTTGTATGGGATGTTGACGGTCGTCAAGTCGTAGTCAGGATTCTGGAAGAGGTATGCGTAAAAGACAGCAGGAAGTACCAATGCGGCTACTGAGGTTAGTATTGGAATCGAACAAGATGCAGGAGGATGACGTACTAGCAGCGACAAGCATCAAGCCACTACCGTTCTCAGAGACAGCAGGATGGAACTCTTGGTGGTCATTCTTGAGACCGCCGAAGATAAAACTACAGCATGTCAGCACAGTAGGTCAACTGATAATTACGAGAGTGCTTACCATGTTCCGAGACAGAGGAGCAGATTGGCAAGAATGGATCCCAAGATGGCAGCCTTAATAACCTGCACGTTGGAGTCGCCATTGGACGTCCCTATCAACACCATGAACAGAATGATTTCAACGATGGAACCGAATGTTGTCTCGAGGACGACGGCAAAAGCCTTATTGGGCATCTTGCGCGAGAACTCCTGGCCAGCGAAGCCGAGCAAGTTTGCTGAAGGCAACATAGCGATGTAATTGGTAATGAAGATTGCCATATGCCATTCAGGTTTCGCAAAGTGCTGTTGACTTTATCAGTATATACGAACCGTACTTTGGCATGCCAGACTTACAAATGCGATCGCAATGGGTACGATAGGCCACAAGCAGTTGACTAGCATGGACGGCGTGCTGCTACTCCTGCCAGAGATGACAAGAAATTTGATTGGATTGAACCCCCTTCTGCCACTTTCGCCCTCAGGATGAAGGCCTGGGGTCACCCTATGGCCATTGTGATTGTACTGCGGCAGTTCCGAGCGACGTCTGGATCTATCACGGCGATCGTCGTCGCCGCGGCGCGTCGTCTTCTCGGTGGTATACTGTCGTTCTCGCGATGAGCGGTGCCCATGGCCGCTAGGATAATCTCGCGAGCTTCTTGAACGGTGCGCCATGGTGTTCGTAAATGTGGGTTGCTTAGGTTGTAGTATTCACAGGCAATGGGCGCTAGGTGTAGGCGACGACTGCACGGATGGGGCCCAGCGGTGAGTGTTTCAGGGCGTGCGTATGAGTAGACCTGCAGCGATTGCAGTCTGTAAGGCTGCAATCGAGGAGAAAGTGTAGGAGTGCAGGCAAAAAGGAAAGACAAGAGGGCCGGTGAGACTAGACATTGTAAAAGGGCCGGGCGTCATTTCGGGAGGAGTAGTATACTTCCTTGTTTACGAGGTGCAGGAGGTCGCAACGGGCGCGTCCACTACAACACACAGCCTCAGCGCTATGATCGCCAAACAACGAAAATGTCGCAGCGGGGCTACACCGAAACTCTGCGACTGGCTACCATACCGCCTTTCAATTGCGCTCCATTCGTCCTGCCACATGTCCATCAAGTGTCTAGCTGAGCTTATCTGCTCTAGACACGTCACCAAGCACCGTACAACGTCTTTGGCAATGCTTGACACCCCTTGGCTGCATCATGATGCGGATTCCAGAACAGGGTTTCAGCTCAATGCACATTGACGTGGGCCCAGACTCCACATTTCAGGTCTAACAAGGGGGAAAGGGTCTCGATCTCCGCTACGCAAATGCGAGCTACTCGATGGCAGGTTGGACACTACCAGCCTCCAGATGTCGCGTGCATCGACTGCGCTATTGAACCCAAGCGCAGAAGCATGCTTCCGATGAGATGGCTTCTGAACTTTGCACGAATATAAGCCCATCGATCGCAATGTCAAAAAGGCCCGACGAGTTGCGAAAGATGGCGATCGAATGTCGAATTCAACCTGTACTCACATACAAATAACACTCGCACCGAATGTTCGGAACGTGATGTTCAGGCTGTGGTTCGAGCTCAAGCTGATTGGTTCTTGAATGGTCGTCGTACCTTGCATATGATAGACTAGTGTCGGGATGGCTATGCGTGAACCTATACAGGGCTGCATTTCTACCATGTGATGCTCTTCCCACATTGCAATCCGCAATGCTCGATGATGGGGTTTGGAGACACACCAGAATCTCCATGAGTATATGATACGCGCTCGAGCGTGATCACCTGGCTTCGTGCACGGGGACATGTGTTATCGGTAGGCGCGTGCTACAGTAGCGTGTCAGTCAACGCCCCAGGTCAGTCAACGCCCCACCCCACCAACACAACAACACAACTTCAACGCGTCATAACTCCACCAATATGGATCCGATTCAAGAAGCGATTGAATATATCG